GATTTGATAGGCATTTTACACCATGCTCAACTGGTAATTCTTTTTTTAAAGATTTATTTTTATTTATGCATATGTATGTGTGTACCACATATGTGCAGGTACTTAGAGCAAGGACACAGGTGTCCTGGAACTGGAATTTCAGGTGGTTGTGAGGCACCTGATGTACAGGAGCTAAGAACTGATCTGTGTCTTCTTGGCCACTAAACCATCTCTAGCTCATAACTCATCATTCTTACATATATACTTAATAACTCATTCCTGTCTATAAGTATGTAGAACAAAGCAAAACAAAAAGGACTCTCCATTATATGGAGATAAATTATATAGTTTTATAAACAAGTTTAATTCATAGTGTAATAATTCAGTAATAGCTAGACATGATGATACATGCCTTTAATTACAGAGACTGAGAAAGGGAGACCCAGGAGTTTAAAGTCAGCCTTGAGTATATGGTGAGACAGTCTCAGCAAACTACAACCAGAGATATGTGTGTAGCTCCACGGTGGAATACCTGTCTAGCATGTGTCCCTGAGTTCAGTTTCCTAGGAAGAAAATAAAACACAAAAAACTCAGAGCAACCAAACAAGAAAACTCAAAACAACAAAAACTATATTCTGGAGGTTTATACTATTTTTAGGCCACTTCTTTGATTTGCCATTGTCTATGAAAATTATAGTTATCTCCTTATTGAAGTAGTAAATGAAGATATGAGAAGGAATATGAACTCCTCAATTCATACTCTGCTATGGTTACTCCTTACAGTCTTGTTTTAGCCCCAAGCAGGGCAAGCTCCTTTTGCATGTAGAACTGTTTAGAGAAATGTTTTCCCCTTTTTAGTCTAATTTCTAAGATACATTTGTGTCAAAGTGCATTTTTGTGGAGGACAGAGAACAATTTCCAGAAATAAGTTCTATTCTTCCACCATTTTTGATGTTATTTCTACACCTACATCTGCATGGAGAAGTATATATAAATCTAAATTCTGTGTATGAAAGAACATTCAATATTTGTCTTTCAGAGTCTTGGTTATTGCACTTAACACAATGGTCTCTAGTTTTATCCATTTTCTTGGAAATGTCAATTTCTTTTTTTTTAGAGATTTTCCTAAAAATATAATTTTAAATATTAAAAATTTAAATTTTTATTTACAAGTGTATGTGCATGTTTGTGGGTGCCCATGGGGACCAGAAAAGGGCATCAGGGATACTCTGGAGCTGTAGTTACTGTAGTTACTGGCTATAGTTGAACGGTTCTGTGTGGGTGCTGGGATATGAACTCCTGACCTGCAAGAGCAGTAAGCTCTCTTAACCACAGAGCCTCCTCTGTGGCCTCCAAATGTCATTTCATTCTTTATTGCTAAATAAAATTCCTTTGTGTATATGTGTCAAATTTTCTTTATTCACTCATCTATTGATGCAGCTGTAGGCTAGTTCATATCTTAGCTGTTGTGATTAGTACAGCATTTGCTTAAATTTGTGTGTGTGTATCTGTATGTGTGTACACAGATGTGCATGTATGTTTGTACATGTGTAGGCCAGAGGTTGACATTAAGTATCTTCATTTTTTTTTTCTCTTTTGTTTTTTGTTTGTTTTACTTCTCTTTAAGTTTATGAGTCAGTGTTGCTCTGTATTCCTGGCTGTCTTGAAACTCAGTCAGTAGATCAGGCTAGCCTCAAACTCTAATCTGCCTGCCTCTGCCTCTTTAATCCTACACACTGGGATTAAAGGCATATTTCACCAGGCTTCCAATCACTCTGTACCTTGTTTTTCTGAGACAGGCCTCTCACTGTGCCTGGAGCATTTGTACCTGGAGCATTTGTACCTGGAGCATTTGTACCTGGAGCATGCTGATTTGACTGGACTGGTTGGCCAGTGAGCCTCAAATCCCCCTGTCTCAGCCTCCCAAGCACTGAGATTACAGGCATATGGAACTATGCCCAGCTTTTAATATACATTCTGAGGGGATGACACTCAAGACTTCATGCTTACATTGCAAGCGTTTGACCTATGAAGAAGTCTCCTTAGTCCCATTTATATAAATCTTGAACATCACTACTATACCTAGAGAAAATCAGACTCTTGCAAAAGGGAAGTTTGGATCACAATTTATTAACATCTCTTAATTTACTAGAAAACACAATGGAGGCCTTTCCATAATAGATTAGTACATGAAGCAATGGTAATCCTGTACTAAGGCTAAACACTTTGTTATCGATTCTTTCTTTAATATCCAGTCTATGACCATTCGAGTGCACTGGCTCTCATGTGAAAATTAAGCATTTCAGAGTAAATACCACTAAGCCTTGTCAGATCTATTCAAATGGATTTTTACTTTATATATCATGAGATTTTAATTAACAGGTTATATTCTATTTATCAATCAACTTTACATTAAAATCAATGGTATGAGAATGAGATATTTTTAGTAAGTTTAGCCAGTTTCATTCATGTATATATTTAACATATTTCTTTTTCTTTTTTTCTTTCTTTTTTTTTTTTTTTTTTTTGGTTTGGTTTTTTCGAGACAGGGTTTCTCTGTGTAGCCCTGGCTATCCTGGAACTCACTCTGTAGACCAGGCTAGCCTCGAACTCTCGAACTCAGAAATCCGCCTGCCTCTGCCTCCCAAGTGCTGGGATTAAAGGTGTGCGCCACCACCACCCGGCAGAATCTTTCTGTAAGAGCCCAAGCTGTCACAGAACTCACTATCCAATTCAAGTGAGAGTTGGGATTTGCAGCAATCTTTGTGCCTCAGCCCCCCAGTTCTGGATTACAGGCTGACATGCAGTTTTATTTTTTATTTTGTAATATTTATTTCATTTCAATTTGTGTGATATAATATATATTATATCAGAGAGAGAGAGAGAGAGAGAGAGAGAGAGAGAGAGAGAGAGAGAGAAAACAATTGTGCATATGGGTATATGTGGAGGCCCTGGAGCTGGAAATTGTGTGCTGCCTTATGTGTGTACTGAGAACTAAACTGTTGTCCCCACAATGAATGAGCCATCTCCCAGTTTCCCAGTTTGTTTCTTGTTTTGTCAGAGGGTCTTACCGCATATTACTGCATAGTCCTGGCTGGCCTGCTACTTGGTACATAGACCAGAGTAACCTCAAACTCCATTTTTTGTTTTTGTTGTTTTGTAATCCTACTGCCTCAGCTTTCCTAGGTGCTGGGATTATAGGTATACACTGCCATGCCTGACTAAGATGCTCCTTTTAAATAAAACTCACAACATATACTTACTGAGAAATGGAGATTCCATGAAACAACAGGGAATAGTGTTAAAAAGTTTTATAGTAGTTCTTAGAATTTATTTACACTTGCTAATTAGTGAAGTCTAACTTTTCTCTCATTTCTAGTTACTTGAGCATTACTGCATTTTTAATGTTCTGATTTTATACAGTTGATACTTAAGTGATTTGAAGTTCTTTTCTTTTCACAGAGCGTGTCCTTTGCAACCTGATTACAGAGATGATGAAAATGAATAGAACTTACACATCTGAATAAATGCCTTCAGTTTACTTACATATTCTAGGATGTAAATTTGGTTAAATGAGTTTGTCCAATTGGCTTGTTGATGAAAAAAAATGAGGCTAGAATTTAACCCTTCAAAAGAAGCCAGCTATAAAAGTGGAGAATTTTCATAATTTGTAAATTTGAATTGCATACTTGAATTTATGTCATATGCTCCTTCTTTTATCTGTTAAGCTTCTTCCTAAAAATCAACATTACCTGATGTTCTAATTACTAATCTATTGTCTTTGCTTAGATTTTTGTACTGATGCCATTTTATGGGCGTTGATTATGGAAATAGTGCCATATAGTTATGGCATGTTTGCTTTAAAAAATTGACTTAGTCTTTTTTACATTAAAAAATTCAATATTAAGTATAATCTCTTGTCATTTATCAGAATGGGTGGGGGAGGCAAAGATAAAATGTTGAAAAACTAGTTGTATATCTTTTAAAGAAAATGTTAACTGGGTGTGGTATTGCACACCTTTGGTCTCAGTACTCAAGAGGCAAAGCCAGGTGGATCCCTGAGTCTCAGGCTATAGAGGGAGTTCCAGGTCAGCCAGGGCTACACAGAGAAGCTCTGTCTTGAAAAAACAAAAAGAAAGAAAAGAAAAAGTTAAAGTCCATTTCGTCTTGAGGTCTTAACTAGTTGATAATCAAAGAGATAAAATACTAACAGGATCAGGGAAAAAGATTCCATAGATACATTAAAAGAGGAAACTTTTTGGATATACATTCAGTTCAGTATCATAAAATAGTACTTCTTTGCATATATATTGTATTTTTTCTTTTCTATCCACCCTGTGGCAGTTTCTCGTGTAGCCCTGCCTGTCTTGGAACTCCCTTGGCAGACCAAGCTGAGTGCTGCCATTCAAAGTGTGCACCACCATGCCCATTTTTCTGCTTATATTTTTAAAGTTGGAAATAAAAAAATGCTGCAAATCAGGCTTTATATCTCAAGTCCTTAGCATTTTACCTTCATTTCTCAAGATGACTTGAGATCATTGAA